AAAGATAATGTACACAAAAGTGCTACCAATTTCTCCTGGATAACATTATAGCAGCATATTATGGTATTATAATTGATATGATTACCATAATTAGTTGGTATAATACCATAATTGTGGTATTATTAATTGGACGTGACCTAGACACACATATCTCCAAGGAAACACTACCAATCTATATCCTTGAGCGAGCCTTTGTTTTCAATCTTTATCTTTCCATCAGTACTGATTTTGGTTTGCTACTTTATTTGTGAAGTTTATAATTTTGATATGTGAAACCTTTGCAAATGTGCTTTGAAAATCTAAAATTATACTCAGCTACAAGTAGGTATAGTCCTCATAACTCGAGACCCCACAAAAATAGACAAGTCTGACTTCCAGTAGAAAACTTCCACAGTTGCTTTGCCTATGTGGCTATCTTTAGTTTTGTGTTTTAATCCTAATTTTACCAATATGCTTCATATGGAAGTGAACATTGACTGCTTATATTTCACCAACTTTCCTTAGGAATTGGCCTTTGATAAATGTTTCTAACAACGAAGGTGTTTTTGCTTTTTTCCTCCATTTATTTATTTTACATATTTAGTACAGGGTCTACAGGGCCTCACTATACAGATTAGACTTGTACTGATCCTCCTGTTTGCAGCCTCCCACGTTCTGGGATTATAGGCATGCGCCACTACGCCCATTCTCAATCCCTGTCTCATCGCCCCCAGGAGCAGGGCCAGCATGGCAGGCCCAGGGATCAAACCCCAGTCCCTGCATCTGCCTAAGCAGGCACTTTAATACACTGAGCTATCTGGCCATCCCTCTCCTTCATTATTAATATGTAGTTGCAATTCCATTTTATAAATGCACAGCCGAAGAATAGCTGCATTTGAGCTCTGTCTGGTTAGACTGTCAGATTTAATCAGTTTTGAACTCTCATGGCACAGTTGCTCCTCGTAGACTTTTCATGTCAGAGTCACTTTCTGCACTGCGTTAGCAAGTTGGGTGTGTTTCCCTTTTCAGGATGGGTCCCCAAGCTGTTTACTGTAGGAAGCAATCTGGTTATTTTATCCAAAAATCTCATGTACATATGCAATACCAGTGTTCTGCCAACTTTTAATGTATAATTGAAAGTCCATATTAATTGCTACCTTTTTCCCATTAAAATCATTTGCACTCAAATATATAAATACTTAATGGGCTATGAATATATTAGGACTTGCAGTTTTAAAACCAAAAATGTTTCTAACAAAGTAATGATCTCTGCAGCCTACAGTGCTCAAAATAAACACTATAATGATAATTTATCAAATGAAGCATAATTTTTGATTCTTATTTTATTTTTAATTTGTAGGCTTGAATCATCTTATTCATCTTCTATTGAAGAAATAGAAAGGAAAAAGAAAGAGATATTTTCAGTGATCCAGGATCAACCAAATCAAGAAAAAGGATTAAATAAGGTATGGAAAATAATGACGCACACTCTTGCGGGTATATCTGAAGCCTTTGCATACCAACAGGTATAAATATCTTCCTTTTCTCTCCCTTCCTTTCCTTCTATATTTTCTGCTAACAATATCTGTCAAGCTAATAATTCTGGCTTTGTTTTGTGCGAACACAAGCCCCAGGTTGTCACTGCCTGTGAAGAATGGAGGGCCACTCTAGCTCTGTGACAGGTGGCTTTCAGAGAGAGTTGATAGCACCAACTTGGTACCCGCCATGTGTGTAAACTGGAGAAGCAGCTTGTGCTCCTCCTTCAGGGTCCTTATTTCTAGGATGGGGATGAACATGCCTACCTCAGAAAGTGGTCACCGGGATTAAATGAGCCCACAGCACCTACTACTTACATTCCACGTATCGTGGGCCAGGAGATGTCTTGAGGGTGTAACAAATCCTAATTCATTTTTTTTCCTCACAACCATTTTATGAAGTGAATCTAAATATCCCTTTTTGTATTTGAGGAAACTAAGACACAATAAGTCTAGTAGCTGCTCCAGCATTTCTTGATCTTCTGTTAAAATCTGTGAACTAATGCGCGGACAGTCTTAGAGCAAGGCCTGGCTCCGAGGAAGCGCCTAGCAAACAGTGGCTTCCATGTTTGCAGTAACACCCACATTTTTCACAGAGCACCTAATGTGTACCACACACTATGCAGGGGCGAGGAATAAGAGACGGATAAGGCATGGGTATTGCCCTCAAAGAGCCTGCGGTTCTCTCCTTTCCTACAGAAAGCATATTCTCTTATCCTAGTGAGACCCAGTAACATCTCTCTTTCCATGAGTTTATTGCTATGGTCTAGCCTCACTGGTCTTTAGATTTGAGAATCAAATGGATAGACATTCAATACTGCAAAACCTAAATAATATTTAACAGTTAAACCTGCGTATGGCTTGGAGCTACCAACTAGTGCCCTGAACATGATTTGACGCTCTGTAAATGAAAGTAAATATTTAAAGAATGAATTAAATAACTTTTTTTGAGACAAGGTCTCACTGCATAGTCCTGGCTGTCCTCAAACTCACAACAGTTCTTCTGCCTCAGCCTCCTGAATTAATTAATATTAAGGCTAAGTTGTCCCACATAAATTACTTATTGTTTGTATAGATTCAACCATTTATTGACCATGTAGTAGGGTTATAATTGTCCCACTAATTTCAAAACAATGTATGAAATATGGATCCTGTCCGAGAGTGGACTGTCAGAGAGCTAATACGGAATAAGTGTAGGAAAGGTGTTCCAAGTTAATGATCATTTCCATTATATTTGAATACTTCAATAACACGCAGTCCAATGAAACTCCTTTTACTGATTTTAAAATCATAATTAAAAAACTGTTCTTTGCTGCGGTCCCCAGTGCATGCATTAAGCTAAAGGATTGATTAAAACTGCCCAAAGCTACCTGTATTGCATCTTTCTAAATCTCATTGATTTTGATAGAATAATAAAAGCTGGAGTAATAGAATCTACTGGTTTCTCAGTTTTGTTTTTAATGTGTTTAGTACAGGGTCTACAGGGTCTCGCTCACACAGATCAGCATCGTAGTGATCCTCCTGTTTTCAGCCTCCCCAGTGCTGGGATTACAGGCAGGCATTACCACGCCCAGTCTCAGCTGCCAGCAAGGCATGCCGGAATCGAACCCGGCCCCTGCGTCTGCCCAAGCAGGCATTTTAATCCTCTGAGCTATCTGGCCAGCCCTTCTCACTGTGTTGACAGGAAGGGAGAGAATGCAAGGCACGGATCTCTTCATGGGCTCTTGGAGACTGTTCCTCAGAGCAGTACTGCACAGCGGAAGTTACGGAGGACTTGCACGTAAATAGCTGGGGCCTCCAGGAAGGGCTTGTGGAAAGCATTTGCATACTCTTGTAATAAAACCAACAAGAGTCACACACCATAAATCTTGTTTTCTTTCCTCCTTTTCCAGTACAGAACTATTTTTAGTCACTTATTTTGTTATAGAAATCACATTTTTAGTACCATGAAAAGTCATTTGAAGCTCAGGTAAATTAAGAAACAGCTTTGCAATATAGCATTTTATTTTAATAGCCAAACATTATAAAAGTAATAAAAATAGTTTACTACTTTATAACAATATATTATTCTTTCCCCAAGTTCCATTTTTAGAGGAACATGTTAAACCAGACCGCAGGAAGCAATCAGCAAACCCAGCACAACTGCAGCAGCTCAAGCTGTTGTCTCACCAAATGAGTTCTAAGAAAAACTGGAAATAGAACATTAAAGAAAAAGTTGTAACAGTGTTCTGGGTTTGGCCATTAGCATTCCAGTCTCCTGATCTCTTTTGCTTCCAAGATTCGATAAGTTAGGTCCAGTCAGCTTTCTGCCCCTCGCTTTTTTTTTTTCCATCTGTTAAATGGCATTGTTAAGGTCACGTGATGTGGTTGTCATGTCCAGCTTACGCTAAAATGCCTGTGAGATGCCACATGCGCATGTTCTACGTGAGGTCATCCTGCCGGAGGTATCATGCTCTGAAACCCAGCTGTTTCCGAAACATGAGCAACCTTCCAGGGCCTGTCCACAAGAGTTAAAGAGCCCAGTGGGTAGTCACGGTCCAGGAATCAGACTGCCTGGCATCATGAATGTGACTCTGAAAAATTATACAGATTATGTTTTAACCTGCAAACCAGAAAGACTTTGTGTGGACTGAATGGGACGAGGACCATAAAGCACACAGAAACACATAAAAACAGCTTTGAAAAGCTGCATGCAGGTCTGGGTGGGGTGGCACACGCTACAATATTCCAGCACGCAGTGAGTTCCAGACCAGCCTGAGCTACATAGTTCGAGGCCAGTGTAGACTTCATAATAAGCCAGTTTCAATGGATGGATAATAGTTAAAACCTAACTCAATTAAATTTAAGCAGCATTTGTTATATTTTTTAGACTATTTTAAATGTGAATTGAGCCTGAATAGTTGGTGAAATGGAGTAGTGACTAATTATTTAAGACATTATAAAGGTATTGTGGCTATGTTAAGAGTGAGGAGAAGAGCGGGGAAGTGTCCCCTTGTTCTTTTAGAGATACTGAAAGGTTTAAAGATGAAATTTAAAAAAAAAGCATTTTAAAGTTGAACGCACTGGAGTAGATTTATGTAAATCTTTTGTGAATGACCTGTAGCTAACCTTTCCAACCTTAGTTCTCATAACGTACTTGATCCAGCCATCTGGGTGCCTTTCCATTGCATTCTTTGCCTGGGATCCTGTCAGTATGCTCTGTCCTCTGCCTGGCTTCCAGTCACCCTTCAGTACCCAGTCTGGTGACCTCTCCTCGGGCATCCGATCTAGATTTCCCTCCCTGGATGGAGTTCGGTACTCTGCACCACTCCAGCTAACAACTAGTATCTTGTATATTTTTTCTGTCTCACCAATGGATTATTTGTTTTGAGATTGTTCCTGGTATGCTTATTTCTGAATCTCAAGAATTAGAAACTGTGAGTAACTTGTAGAAATAATGCTAGCAGGCTGGACCAGCATAGGAAGAGGAGGAGAACAGAGGAGAGGCTTGGAAGGGTTGAAATGGAAGGTGCTCATTTTGCTACCTGAGTCTGAGGAATCCAAGGTATCAAGATGCCCTTTAGCCAAGAATTAGAATATAAGAGACTCCCCAGGCCAAGGGTAGGAGGTGAGGATGCATGTCTGTGGACATGCATTAAATTTAAAGTTTATTGTAATGTCGTTCTAAAATACATAATGTTGGGCTGGGGAGATGGCTCAGTGGAATAAGCACTTCCCTGACAAGCTCAAGGGCCTAAGTTCAATCCCCGGTTCCAAAAAAAAACCAACCAAACAAACAAATAAACAAAAAAAAAAAAAAAAATATATATATATATATAATAAAATAAATACATAGTGTTTAGTCTCAACTGATACAGCATAAGTTGTTTAACCTTTCTAAGCAATGTTTTCTCCATAGGAAGTGCTTGATATGTTTTAGCTATCTTCCCATGTAGTTCTTAATGTAGTGTCAGTAGTAGGTGATGATTTTTATACAATGGAAAATAGAAATGAGAAATGCTATCTCAGAATTGGAAGGGAAAATAAAAATGAGTAATGTAACTACCTGTTTTTAATTTATCATTGATCAGAAAAAGAGGCTAGAGTGGGGCCTACCAAAGTTTCAGGGCAGGAAGACAGAACATGTCCAATAATAGCTTTAAGCTGCTCTATAACTAAAAAGATTTGTTCACTTTGTCTGGACTTTATCTGCTACAGATAAGAAACCAACTTTATCAGGAGGGAGAGTGCCACGTCTCGGAGCAGGAAAGAATGAGAAATGAAATCTCTAATTTAACAGAGGAGCTTCATCAGAAGGAGATCACCATAGCAACTGTGATGAAGAAAGCTGCCCTTCTGGAAAGACAGTTAAAGATAGAATTAGAAATAAAAGAAAAAATGTTAGCAAAACAACAGGTACGCCAGCCTTTCCGGGCCCTCGCTGCTAGCAGCCTCCTCTGCAGCCCCGAGTCATCGCGCTGCTAGGTCTTGTTCCAGAACTTAGCATCACACAGATGCCCGCGGTGTCACAGCAGCGTTTTGTGGAGTCACATAACACCTTCGTGACATGTCGCAAAGTGTCGTGATAAAGGAGCTGGGGACAGAAGCAGCAATGCAAGATTAAAGTCCATCTGGTAGCCCCTACTCTGAGCACTGCCCCCACGTGCTGCAGTCGCAGATTTCTTCCTCAGGTCCTTTCCACTAACACTGATTTTTTAAAAAAACTCTGTCTAGCTTTTCTTGGATATTTCCCATCCTCTACTTAATGTATTTTGTTTAAAATACGGATGTTATAACATTAAATCATATTTATTGAATATTCATGCAATGCATAGCATGGTGCATGGGGAAGAAATAATTGTAGTTCTCCTACTAAGATGCTCAAAAGTAATTTCTAACCCCACCAGCCTGCAGCCTGCCCACCTTCTTACTCACCCACCCACCTTACGTACCTTCCTTCCTTCCCTCCTTCCTTCCTTAGTTTTTAAAATCTCTAATCCCTAATTCATAACAAAATTGGTAACCTGCCATTAACAGATTTATCAGCCCCCTTTGCTTCAAATCTAGACATTTTCAAAGCACAAAACATTGAGAAAATTTCAGTACGTTTTTTAGGCATATGAGGATTACTTCCTAAATAGCATGGCTGTTAAATTTACTTTTATCCTGTATTGTGGAAACAAAAAGCTTCAACCTGGAGCTTTAAACTATGACTTTTCTGTACCATAATGCATACAGGTGGAATAGGACTACCAGTTGTACCTTGTTGGGGAAAGATATTCTACAAACGGTAACAGTTAGTTGGATTAGGAATGATTCTAACTTTTACTTTTAGATTCTTATATTTGATTTCATCAGTGAGCTTATATTTTATAATTGATAAAAGTAAATCTTTTTAAAGCAAGTGTTTTTTTTTGTAGTAGAAAGAACCCTAAGTGAATAAAAGGACAACTATTTGTCAAGTAAAAGAAATCAAAAAGTACTGTCAAGTACGTTCCTCTACTGTCAAGTAGAAGAAATCAGAAAAACAAAAACTGTGAGATAGATTAGCAAATCACAAACAAAGGAAACTTGGCAGAAAAAAACAGGAAAGACAAAATTAAACATGAAAGTCGGGCTGGTGAGATGGCTTAGTGGTCTAAAGCACCTACTTTAGAACAAGCTTAGCAAAGCACAGGGACCGCGGTTCAATCCCCCAGCACCACATGCCAGCCTGCCCCGCCCCCTGCTGGGCCGAGCTGGCCACACACACACACACACACACACACACACAAATAAATAAACAAAAATTTTAAAAAAGAAAAGAAAAATCACTTTAAAAAGAAAACAAAAAACATAAAAGTCATGTGTTGTATATTGTAAAACAAATTAATCAGGTGCTGAAGAAATATGGACAGCGTTATTTCAGGCATGGCTTAACGTTGTGATTTGTCTACTAATAATTTGCATACCATTCAAAAACACAAGAAATGAGATTTGGGGATTAGAAGGAAAACAAATAAATGAGTCATTATTTTATCTCTTTAATATTGATTATAAGAGGAAGGTACAGTGTGGCCTGGAAGAGAGAGTAAAGCTGAGTAAGAGTACTCAGTCAGGGCTGGTGAGATAGCGCAGTGGACTAGGAGCCTGCTTTGGCAAGCACATGGATCCCTGGTCTCACATGCACTGGCTCCACCCTGGGCACGCTGAGCCAGTGACCAGGTCTGGGTGTGGTGGCACACACCTGTAATCCCAGCACTGGGCAGGCTGAAAACAAGGGGATCGATTTTAAAAAAAAGAAAGAAAAAAGAATACTCAGTCAATAAACCTATGAAATTTAGGTTGTATTATTACTACAACTAGAAAATGTTTGTATTCTCAAAGTAAAATTAATTTTAATACAAGTATGTGTTTTTATTATGAGTGCTACACTTACCTTTTATCTTTCAGTTCTCAGGTATGAGATACAAAGCTGTCAGAACGGAGAACACACATCTGAAAGGAATGATGGGAGATTTAGACCCTGGACGGTACATGGTAATATGCTGAATTCATTCAAAAAGTTGAACAAGAGATTGTTTAGCTGGTCAGGATTTATTAATGCATCACAGATTGTCTTGCACTTTAGTTGAATTTGTTTTATCCTCAGCTGGACACTTTATTTTTTTTTCAAAGTTTTATTGATAAACAGCAATGAGACAGTTTCAAATCAAATCGGAAGTAC